CGGGAGACCCGGACCTGGGAAACTACCGCGTTCTAGGCTATGTACTCCCTGCCCCGGCCACCACTTAGGGGCGCCACTGTCTTATTAGCCACAGTATTTCACAGTACGATCATCGGTATTTGATTTACGACTACTTTTTACTTTTCACTTTTTTACTTTCACTCGTGACATGTGAAGTAACAACACAGATTGAATTCATTTTTTTAAGACTTTTTTTTTAGAAAATTTAAATGTGTCCAACAGGGCCCTCTAAAGGCCGTCAGTCGTCACTTGGACCCACCTGGAAGATGAGAACTTTGAAGTGGTTCCTCTTCAGCAGGTGGCCGTGGTTGGCCTCCAGCTTCTTCACCTGCACCGCCTGTTTGTCCAGCCGCTCCCTCACCTCCTTGACGTGGCCGCTCATCTTGCGGGAGCGCTCCAGCAGCTTGCTGACGCTGTTGGAGGTGCTCATGTGGGTCTTGGACAGGCGGCTCACGTCCCCCTGCACCACCCGCACGGCGTCCTCCAGGCTGGCCTGCCGCTGCTCCATCCGCCACTGGTTGTCCTGCACCGACTCCAGCATGTTGACCAGCTTGTCCAGCAGCGCCACCACGGTAATGGCGCTCACCTGGCCGCGGTCCACGGGGGGGCCGGGCGCGGCCGCGGAAGGGCTGGTGGGGCTCTTCAGGCCCAGCCGGGACAGGGTACCTGTGGGGGTCGGGGAGGACGGGGCTGAGGAGGGGGCGAAACTGGGGATCAGCAGCTCCGAGGATTCGGGCTGCTGCTGCAGCTGCGGGATGGTGTGAGTGCTGCCGGAGACGCTGCTGGGCTCGGCATGGGTCGCGCCGCGGTCCACGGTTCCCAGGTGGTCAGGTGGTCCGGTGGTCCGGTGGTCAGGTGGTCAGGTGGTCCAGGAAGCCTCAAACAAACAGACTCTGGCGGTGGTGCAGCCACTTGTTGCAGCGGAGAAGTGACGGGAAGCTGTTTTCACCTCTTTGACTTGACTCCGCGGCCACGCCCCTTTCTGTTCACTCACACGCTCACGCTCACGCACGCACGCGCGCGCTCACACACACACTCACGCCCTGTGAACTTTCAAAAACACTTTCGTCTGTGATTGTGCGGGCGGAGCCTGGTTGTCACGGCAACCGTGTAGGTCACGCTCACGACAGAAGAGTGTGTGTGTGTGTGTGTGTTCAACAAAACCATCGATGAAGGATATTTATCAACATGACACATCACCGAGAAATCGAGTTATCGAGGATGTTGCGTAGATTACAGGGTTCAGATTTAACTCATATATTTGGAGTGGTTACGTTGTTAATCCCCAAAAAGAGTGAAACCATAACATTCTTCTGGATTAATCACGATTAATCGTGATCATAATATATCCCGATTTAATCACGATTAATCGTGATCATAATAAAAAAAATTAATCGTGATCATAATAAAATCGTACATAATTATTATAATGAAATAATTGTATTTTTTAATGCAACAACAAATAATTTAAATCATTTTATCACCGGAAGAGCATGACAAATAGCAGTCGGTAGAGGTCGCTGTTTCACACCTGTTTTAATCCGTGGCTAATCCAAACGATTTAATAACAGTTTGTTGTTTTAGTCAGTATTGTTGATGTCCGTCTGTTGTTGTGTTGCTGCCATCTTTTTTTTTTCATAGCTCAGCGATGCTGAGGTGACGGTCGTAACCGTTGCGCCTCTGGTTCCGCCGCTGAGGCCAGAAGCTGTGATTTGAAACGGTTTGTCTCAAGGTTGAACACTCAAACGTAGGTGTTAGATTCCAAGCTGTGCCAAAGAGTGCTTTGTACACGCACCACAGTTTGAGCACCAGCCAAGTGTACAGAGTGAAACGTCGGATTTATGTTTCACCACGGGCTAAATGAGCTAAATGGAACAGTGGCGTGACGCGTCAACGTGTCACAGGGTGAAATGCGTTAAAACAGACCATAACGAGAGTAAAATACAGCGACTGTCAACGCGGACACACAGCAACAGGCACGTCGTCCACGCTTGGACTCGGACTCGGCACGGTCTGACATCGCTTACAGCCGTCCGTCACGTCCCTGGTTGACGATTTGGAACAGAACCTCCTGATGAGAACGTACGGTGAGAAGACGGTAGCTGCGACTGTAGCTGCAACTGTAGCTGCGACTGGAGCTGCGAC